CAGCGGAGATCTGGCAAAATGCTGCCGTGACTGGTCTTATCACACTATGAACCCTTCTTTCCATTCCTGACAATGCTGCATTGCTTTAAGGCACAATTTAACAGTGTGCTTGCAAGATTATAAACTATTTGAAAGAATGAAAGTGTCCTAAGTGTCGCACGCTTAATTAAATGCTATCATAAAGTGAGAAAAAAAACACTGAACTTCATACAACTTTAATACATGCAAAGAAAATGCCAAGGAAGACCAAACAATTCCTGCAGATTCACTTTAAAGGCTTTTTTAAAAATCAGCACAGTTCAACTGTGAAGAAGAAGTGATTTAAAAACAAACTAAAAACCCCAGCAATTTCAAAGATTACATAAAGCAGACTTATTTGAAAGGCAGCATTTGAGCCAGTTGTTGATGTGGCAATTTTTATTTTAAACACATGATCGGCATTTTACAATTTGAAAATAAGTTCATTCTATTAAGACAGATAAAATATGAATGCTGTTCTGGCAAAAACTGCAAATTGCTCCTGTTCCTTCATCTCATAAACACATCTTTTGCCAAGTTACAGAAATTCCTGTTTTCTCAGTGTTGTTCTCCAGGCACAACTACATTTGAAATCAAAAGCTCTGAGAAGCTTATTTTTTCCTGAAAATTGGAACTGTTATGTCTCCAAATTAAACAGAACCATAGTAGCTTTACTGCATTACACCCTGAGCACAGCCAGTGAATTCTGCAGTGTGCCTTACACCCTACTGACTACGCCAGGCTATCAGCAGACTCGCACCTAGCAGGCAGCAATCACCTGGATGCCCTTGCTTCATTCACCTAGTAGCAACATATGGATGTTGCAGCTGCATTAGGAAACGTTACAGCAAAATATAGTTGTTCTTCTATACCAAGTACACACAAAGTCTGAGCAGACAACCAGCCTTTTCTGACAAACTGTAAAGATTGGCATGATTATTCAGGAGGCAATTAGTGGTTAACTGAAGACACCTGTCAGATACGTATGGGAAGGGAAGGGAAGAATGGGAGAGGAGGGAAGATGGGATATATTACTGAGAGGAAAATAGGAAAGGTCAGTCTTCCTTTCTTATCTTGTTCTTGAAGAGCCTAACCCTAACCCTAACCCAAGCCCTCCTTGAAGCACGAAGCATCCAACCATCCTGGACACTTGCTTGCTGCTAAGGTATAATAAGAGACAAATTGGTTCAACTTAGATTTTCTCCATGATGGTTTGCTTCTCTTGCAATCCCTTTCTCTGCTCAAGCCCTGTACTTTTCTTTCTTACTTTTAAAAAAAATATTGTGAAGCACATGCGTGACATTTAGCTCACCCTCTACCATAGATCCTCCCATCACAATTCAACAACCTTCTCTTCAACATGCTAGGGTATGCAGTCATCTGCCTCAAGTTCTCTCAGTCTCTGAGGAAGCCTCTCCCTTGTCTCCAGGAAAAAAAGCTCCATATTGGAGAAAAGAAGAACCTACAACCACCCATGGAGAAGAATGCGAAAAAGCCTAACTGATCAGAGCTGCAACGAAAGTTGATACATGAGAAGAGCCTGAATACATCAACTAAAGTTCTCATGAATTAATGACCTACCTTGTGCGTTTGCAATCACTCCAATTCTTGAGAAATTTCAAGCCAACTTACCAGTAGCACCCTCTCAAGTGTTCCAAGATTTTGGTTGCAAAAGAGTGATTAGTTTAAGCTGATAATGTTAAAAGATCAAGAACATGACCATAAACAATTCACTATGGAAATATGTAGTCAGGAACTATCTGAAAATTAGAGCCGCTATACGCTGTGCCCTGTTTCAACCGTCAACAGTTTCAGAACGGAGTCTCTTCTTAACACGATCAAATCGTCCAACAGGCCATTCAGCATTTACTAGTCCTACCACTTTTCGCACACGTGAACTAGAAAGATATAAAGGTTGGGGAGTAGGAAGATTAGTGTCTGTAACTGATATTCACAGAGCTTTTTCACATTTTTTTTTATTACTGCTAAGACTTGGACGTCTTGGACCAGAAAAGTGAGAGCTGTCAACACTGCATTATGGCACGCACGTTGAGCAGGGCGTACATTTGGTAAGGGTTACTCTCTCTGTTCTCTCATGCACCGGCAGAAAAATATTTACGTTTTCAAAACTACTCCCATGCAGACCGAGGAACAAATTTTGCACAGAACTTTCTTGCTGCTCAGCCTCTCACGGAAAACGTGTACAAAGCATTCATAGGGAACCTAAGACCTCAAATACTGCCTGAAACGAAACCCTTAACTCACAGGGCCATTACAAACTAACAAAGATGAAAGAGGAAACTTGCAAAGCAATAATAAAGTATCTTTCATACTGACACAAATCAGATACCCTACAGGACATACTTCATGCCATTTGGTCCACTGATGGTTTAGCTTATCCGTGTTTCCAGAAATAAGATGAACGAACGAGTTTCCAGAAAGGAAACAGACAACTTCTTCACAAAAAGAGCGAAGATCAGAACATACTGATGGCATTTAAAAGGTCTCTCATTTTTTCCTCATAAAGGGGAAATAAGTGAACTCAGCTGTCTGTGACAGTCACCATTATGAATTTCTGTGAAAAACCTCATTAAATAAAAATGCAAGTGACTGCTGGATACGTCTGTAAGACACAGTAATACCCTTAGTGAAGTATTAAGAACACACAATTTTCTCCTCGTATCAATGATATAGTTACCACATGAACAATCAGATCTCTCTCAGAAATACCAAGAAAGACTGTGCAGTTATACTGCTAACAGGATTATCCTGGGCTACATTAGCATGACTGCAAACCCAAGAAAAACCCCTTCTGCAGGCTTATTTGTAACAAACAACGGTAAGCAGCTATTTTAAGCACAATTTATTACCAATCTGGCTCACTGCTTTGCCCCAAAAACAGTTGCACCAACACAAACAGAAGCCACTGTGGGTGGCGAAAGACTGCCTTAGCAGGCTTTGCAGATGAAAATACCTCAGGCTTGGGCTCCACAAATGCTCCAGTTGTAGTACGAGACTTAAAAGGAAAAAAATGTCTCTCACATGCAACAACCACTGTCTGACTGAACTTTTCAGTAATTTACCCTCTCTAACAGAGTAGCTCCTACCACTGTAACTATCCTTAGTTTTGCTTTGGGTTGGGAACTCCAAGATCTGTTGTTCCCTTAAGCCTTTTGTCTTCTTTCTGAACTGAACGCAGAAAAATACACTGAAAACCCTACCCACGTGTACTGAAGCATCTCAGTTTAACAAAGCAAAGTTTAAACTCTCAAGCAAGTATTTAAAGCTACAGATGCTTTATA